ACCCTTCTTCAGAAGAAGGGTCTAGGCCCGAAACGTCAGCTTTCCTGCTCCTCTGATGCTGCTTGGCCTGCTGTGTTCATCCAGCTCTACACCTTGTTATCTCAGATTCTCCAGCATCTGCAGTTCCTACTATCTCTGCACCATAGCAGGTTGTTTTTGCTAGCGTAAAGACCACATCTTTTGATTTTACTTTAGTTTTGATTGTGAATCGAGTTGGGAAACAGACAATTTTACAACAAAGGACTGAGGAAAGAAGTGCTGTATTTTTGAAAAAAAATACAAGCTACTGAAACATATTGTAAGACATGTTTACTCTGTTGCTTTGAAAGCAGTGGGAGAAAGTCTAAGGGATGACGGCCCAGTACCAGGATGTGTACACAAGTGAGATTCACCCGCCAACAAGCAGATTTGTGGAATTGTGACTATTTGTGGATGACAAAGGTCATCAGCAAACTCTCAGAATGTTTGCTGGTAAATGAACAGCTTAGGGATCTGACCATTAGAATGAGAAGATTTCTGAGCTCTGGAAGGGAGTTGGTATGTGTGTGTGTCTCTCTCTAAAATATCCGAAGCTAAAGAAAGCCAGTTATCATCTTCCAGAGAGACCATGAAACTATAAGAAATAGGCGCAGAAGTTGGCATTTTAAAATCCATTGATTCTGCTCCACCATTAAACGAGATCATGGCTGCTCTGCTAATCTTCACCTCCACTCTTCCACCTTTTCCCCGGTAATGCTGATTATTGTACTGATTTAAAATCTGTCTTCAACATACTTAATGATCCAGCCTTAACAGTCCTCTGTAGTAAAGAATTCCACAGGTTCACAACCATCTGAGAGAGGAAAGACCTCCATCTCTGCCTTAAATGTGAGAGCCCCCTTATTCTGAAATTATATTCTATAGTTTCTCACATAAGGAAACAATCTTTCTGCATGTACCTTGTCAGATCCTCACTTTAAGCTATTGCTTTTACACAAAAAGTCAGAGACATTACAATTTGTGAACCAGTTACTCTGTGCATTTGGTGAGGAAGTGAAAGAACCTGAAGGAAAAGCTTGGATAGCTAAAGGACCTTGGGGAAACAAAAGGAACCCCTCCATCAAATCCTGAGGACTAGCATCATTGAATTGATTCCCTGGTATGTTTCTCCCCTCCATCCATTACATCAATGGATTTTGTCTGTTTGTGTCAGTTTGTTTGTATATTGGGGGAATTTTAGCAGGGGGTTAGAGTTTTACCTGGTAGAAATATATGCTGACATCACATAGTTATTTACCTGTGGTTAGAATCTACTTATTTGTAATTAATAGGAGCTCCTGTATAGTATAGAAACCTGGTCTGCATTTTCTGTTAACTAGTGTTAATTCCACAGGGAATTTGAGGACTTTGCATACTTTGATTAAAATTTTTAATTTTTGTGATGACTTTGGGAATAGTGGGGTTTGATATCCGGTGTCCTACTCCACTGAGGTGTAACAGTTAGTTTGAACCTAGGACCCACATACCACATGTTGGACAGGACAATTCTCTTAATGAACTGGCTAATATTTATTCCTCAATACTACCAAGCCAAATACCAGATATCCATCTTATTTGCTGTTTGTAGGACTCCGTTGTGCATAAATTGGTTGTCATGTTCACCATATAACTGCAGTAACCACACTTGAAAGTGTCACTACAAAGATTAGTACTCATTAGTTCTGCATTGTCTTTAATTTGCAATAATTATCTCACATTGGAAGCCCCATAGTCACAAATTTATTCAAACTGAGGGGATTTGGGCACAACCTACAGAAAATGGCCATGAATTTTTAAAAACTGTTACAGGAAAAAGCAAATGGGCAAAAAAATGACAAATGAATTTTAATACCATTGTAATGTTTGCTATGTGTTTGAAAAATTGGATGGCATAACTGGTGAATGCTGTAGAAATAGCAAAACCTGAGGTTGAAAGAGAACCGAGGTTGTTTCAGGCAGGGATTAAATGAACCAGAAGAGTTTGTTAAATAAAATGATCTGGGATTAAAGAAATTGCTGGCAGAATGCACAGAAATCTACTGTTAGAATCACAAGTAAGTGATGCATTAATGCTTATGTTGAATTCTCTCGCTTCATCAGGGAAATGCACCCCTACTAGATTAGCATGAATGGTATCTGTCTCTAATAGCCCTCAGTTCTTCAACATTATCTCTTGTCATTATTTGTAGTGCTTGTTTCCACTGAGTTTAGTTCATGAAATGGATGTATGGTTTTGCTGTGGGCTTTTGGGAAAAAAAAATTCTGTTTGTGGGACCTAGTTGTGTACAAATTGGTTATCTTATTCACCATATGTCTGCAGGAACTACACTCGCAAGCAATTCTGTGGCTGAACTACAAAGATTAGTTCTGATTAGATCTGTACTGTCTTTTATAAAGAAGATGGGCATTGCTGATGAGGCAAGCATTTTCTAGCCATTTCGAATTGCCCTTGACTAGATGATAGGGGACCTCCTTAAGACATAATAGGAACAGGAGAAGGCCATTCGGCCTAATATGCCATTCAGTAGGATCATGGCTGATCCAACATTCCTCACATCCACTTTCCTACCCTTTCCCCATAACCATTGATTCCCCTACTAGTAAGAAACTATGTATCTCAGCCTTAAATGTACACATGGACTCTACCTCTGAGTCCATGAATGTGACCTTCTTGAACCTGTGCTGTCCATTTGATCATAGGAGTTCCCACAGTGCTAGTGACTTGCAGGGTTTTGGCTGAGTGATGATGAAGGAATGGGCGTCTATTTCCAAGTGCATTACTTGGAAGCCACTTGGAATAACGGTGTTCTTTTGGACATGCTGCTGTTTTCCATCTGTTTGGTAGAGATCATGAGTTTGGAATGTGTGCCTGTGGCAGAAGGATTGAATGTTAAGTTGATGGATGTCAGTCAAGTGGGTTATATTGGTCTGGATGGTGTCAAGTTTCTTGAGTGTCATTGGAGTTGCTCTTATCCAGAAAACTGGAGGGAATGCCATCATACTGTGTACCCGTAGATAATGGAAAGCCTGTGACAAGTCAGCAGTTTTGGTTTTGTGGCTCTGCCCTTTCTGGAACTCAATCCCTCGATCAGGAATGGAGCATCTGACAATGATGGACCACATCCCTCCCTCTTCAACAGCCAGTAAATGTCTCTGTTTGCTTTTACGGTTTTCACATAGGTAAATATCCATGCCTTTAATCGCACACTTAAGGGCCTCAATTGGTACAGGGTGTGTATGCCATCCACAAACCTTCACGCTGTGGAAATAATCAGACCGTATCAGGGAGGTGAGGGGTTTGCCCTCCCGTCTGATTAAATGCCTCCGCACACCCATAGGGAAGGCTCTTAAATTCCACCCAGTGAATTTAAATGAAAGGTCTGGTTCCCTTTAAGAAAAAGATGATAACACAGTTGAGCTGCCCATGTGATGCCTGCCCTAAATGGTGCACCATTTCTGGAGTGCTGCTTACCCCCTCCCATACTTAATGGCTCTTTTTAGAAGCACAATGAATCAATGGTGTAAAGGCAGTTCAAGTTAATATTATGGAGCATGGTGCAAATTGGCGATGAAGGCTCCTGGCCTCAGAGCCATACAGTCATACAGCTTAGAAACTGGCCTTTCAGCCCATTGTGTCTCTGACCAACAAACACCAAACTACACTAAAACAATTTACCTGCACCTGGTCCGTAGCCTACTATGCCCTGGCATGTTAAGTGCACATCCAGATGCTTCTGAAATGTTGTGAGAATACTTACCCCCACCACCCTCTCAGGCAGCATGTTTTATATTTCTACTACCTTCTAGGTGAAAAATGTTTTCCTCTAAACCTCTTAATCTCACCTTGAACTTGTGCCCTCTGGCCTTAGACAGATTTGCCATGTGTTTCATGATGAGTTGTAGTTTCTCCTATGCAAAAAACATTACAAACACCAGTCATCATTTCATTGGCCCCTTGGCACATTACTTTAGCCTGTGAATTCTAACATAAATACAAGGGGTGGCACATGCAAACTGGTGATGGGCATGTGTCTTCACAGTGACCAGTGGGTGGAAACATTACAGGTGTAATGGGGCAGCCATCCTCATTTATTTCAAAGCTTGGATTAACACAGGCCGAATGTGTTCCTGATGGATTTCTAAACTTGTAACGTTTCGAAATACAGCCTGCTGTCTATATTTTAGATTTTTTTTTAATGGATGTTTCAGAATAAACAATTATAAACTTCATTCAAAATGGTATGTTTAGAGCTGGGGCTGATGAACTACACTAGACTTTCACTGGGGTTACTTGATCCAAGTCATTAAGCTCATTATGATCAACGTCAATGATATGGTCACATTGTTCAGGGTCAACAATGTTATATGCTCACAGTCCTGAATCTCATATTTGGCATATGTTATGGGGCTAGGATATCTGACTTGATTTGACATTAACCATTATCCTATAATTGTGAACATTTGGAGTGGGCTTTGGGAATGAAAACCTGAAAGCCTCGCAATGCATTGGAAAATGATAGAAAGGGGAAGGAGAGATGTGTTTTCATTTTTATTTCTTCATATACAGAAATAGTAGGAGAAAAAGATCCAAAGCCAATATTTGCGTTCTGGGTCAAACAATATCTGTGCTTTATTGTTCTATGATCCTGTTGTATTTTAATTTATTTGCCACAGATGTTAAATATGTTTTGTCAGTCATGTTGATTTCACACGCAGCTCTTACGCTTTCTTTGTTTTTTTTTGTCAGGTCCTAATATGCAGAAACTACATGGGTGATGTAGATATGAATGAAATTGACTACTTCCTACCGATGTTAATGCAGAAGGAGGATGAGGAGATTAGTTCCCCGTTCCTCATCCACGGACGTGTTCACTTCCTCTGGATAAGGCACAATAACTTGTATTGTATCCTTTCAAGTGGTGGCAAACTCTTTTTTTTTGTAGCCCATTGGTTTAGTGCAGTATGAGAGGGAAATATTTACAATATCTTCAGCATTGAGGATTGTGGAATCCTATTCTGTTTACCAACATGGTCTATCTTCTGTAGACTTCCCCCCGCCACCACCAATCCTTCCCTGGCGACTGTGCTGATAACTGATATTTGGAGTGGAAGCTCTGAGTCAATGTGTATTCCAGCCCTCCTTTAAGGATAAACAATTTATAGCATCTTCTTACCCACAAGACAATTAGCCAAAAGGTATGTAGTGTTTTTATTAGAAAAGATTTTTCACCTAGTTTATGTGCTCTTGCATTTGTTCACTTGGGGTCAGGGGATGGATATGCTATTACCAGTGCCCACCTGGAACAATTATCACATGGTAGCCTGTGACTAAAAGAGGCAGGAGGCGACAGAATATAACAGTGGGGCAGTTGGAATTATTGCTGCTGTTACACAATGCTATGCAGCTGGAGAGTCAGCATTGTTTTTGTACATACAGAACTATGTATGTATAGGCAATGAATCTTCCAAATTGGGATGCATTTGAATCAGGGGTGGTGGGCAAGGATTCAGTCCAGTTGTTTAACTTGTAAGTACCTATACAAGATTAAAGACCCGGCTATTAAGTTCTAAATTTAGTTGATAAATCAAAAATGATTTGTAAAATGGTACTGACCAAACATTGCAGTTGATGGTATCAGTGGATGGTGTTTTACCTGCTGTTTCTGTCTGACTGCTTTTTTGACATTGGAGTCAAGTAATACCTGCATTTAAAATAGCAGACATAAAAAACATAACTGAATGTGTTAAGTGTTCAGTTGGCAACAATAATTTTTCACCCTTTATTATGGAATGTATTTGTCTCAGTATGTGAATTTAACAGATAACTCAAAATAAATTCCCAACTGTATAAACTGAAATCATGTGTCACCTAAAGAATTTGACAAAGTGAATTTGGTTCAGGTCCTGCTGCAATTATCTGACTTTCAGTATTTTTTTCATTTGGTTTGACAAACTGGTGAATTAAATATTATAATGTTGTTCTGCAATTTAAGTTCTTTAACCTTGAACACCAAGTGGTAGCAGTGACAAAGAAAAATGCAAACGCGGTGCTAGTTTTTGCATTTTTATATAAAATTATTCAGGTGAGTGCTATTCAGTCAATTAAAATGTTCTCATAATGTCAAAAGTAGATTAGACTTCTGTGTGACGTCAGCCTTGGACTTCTACATTGAGCCAGACTGAATGAATTCTTGCATGGACACTCAAGTATTGATTTTCAAATTTTCAGACGTAGAAGTTTCTCGAAGTCAGAAGTCTGTAGTTCCTTGAAAATTACACCTATGACCTTATTTCAATAATTCCAGTGAGCTGTGGACTCCTGCCATACCTCCAGACTCCGGTCCCTGGTCTAGGAATCTCTGCTTTGGAACAGATACCTCACTGGCCTTGGCTTCTGATTAAATCCTGTGAGGAAGGGAGGAGAGCAGGATAGGGGTGAGAGTGGTTCACATGGGCTGGCCACATGCAGTCCACAGTAGTGCAGCAGTCCTGGGAGGAATGTTCCAACAACTCTTGGCTCCACATGAAAGTAACTAAAGCCTGTTAAGTTCGGCTGTATGTAGGTAATTCTGAGTGGTGTATTTATGGCAGGGTTACAAAAACAACTTGTATAGCTCTTTTTAATACATTAAAATTTTTCAAGGTGCTTCAGTAGAGTGAGGCAAAATTGGACACCATTAGGACAAATGGACACATGATTGGTCAAAGAGGTAACCTTTTAAGGAGCATCTTGAAGGGAGAAAGACAAGTAAAGAGGCAGAGGTTTTTATAAAGGATATTTCAGAGCCTGGGACCTTGGCAACTGAAGGCAAAGCCATCAGTCGTAGAGCACTTAAAATCCAAGAAGCATGAGGCCAGAATTGACGATATTACAGATATCTCAGAGAGTAATGGTGACAGAATAGGCATTGGTTTCCTGTTACCACATGTTTGTGGTGGGTGCTCGAGATGCCTTGGCATCTACTTTTCTCGATATGGCAGTGTGCACTGTTGTTGGCCTGGAAGTGTACCTTTATGCCTCTGTTTTCCTCCAGGAACTTTGGCATAATGAGGACCAGTTTCCACCCCAGCCTGACCTGCCAAATTGTCACACTGAAGCAAACCTATGTCCACCTTATTATCATTCCAACATTAAGAAACAGCACCTAGGTGGATTGGTCTGAACTGACTCAGTCTCAATCTTCTCTTGGACCCACAGGAACTCATGTGACTCTTTTGCCATCACTAGAACATCTCCCAAAATGATTTCAATCCAAATCTGTTTTCCCAATTCTGTCAGACTGCCCATCTCCATCCATTACATGTAAATGGTGATGCAGAAGAGAGATGCCTGAATTTGCTGCCATGGCAACACCAATCCTCAGGACCTTCTGGTGAAAGATGGTGCTGAGTTTCGATATTGGAAGTGGGGTTTTGAAGTTTTCATGGAGAGGGAATACCAGGCCTGTTCGAGATAAAATCTGAAATGATGTCCAATATTATCTGTTTTTCTCGTTTAAAGTTTCCAGCATCCACGGTATTTGCCTTTATGAGTCTATTTAAGAAGTAGGTAGTGTCCCTGCCTCTGACTTTGGGTACAAGTCCCACTCTAGGACTTGTTGGCCAGGGAAGATGCATTCGAAATATGGTCAACCAGTTGAGCATCAACTTGAAAATCCCTCCAACCTATCTGATGGCAGGTAGTAAGAGAGGGAGAGATGCCTGGTCAGGCACATGATAGGAAGTCCTTAGCTCTCCCATCACTTTCCATATTTTCAGGCTACAACCAGCATGTAAATGTGCCTGTTGCCAGAGCAAATCAGACACTTTTTGGTGGCAGCTTGGCTGCTTTAGCTGGATGGCTGGGTTGGATCAGATTGGTGCTAATAGCACAAGGTTCCATCTCTATTCCAGTTGGGCTGGATTTGGAAACTGACTCTCCGTAGTGGAGATCATGGTGCTATGGGTCAGGCCTGACTTCACATGGAGAACTCGGGATGACAAAGATCTTTTAGGGATGTTCTTTCCTTTAATTCAGCTCTGTACTCTTTGTTTTGATAACCAGTCTCTGCCAAGGCCTGTCAGAGCACACGCTTTACCAATTCTCAGCTTCAAGGTTTCACTACATTTGTCAGGCCTCTAGCTACATCTCAGTATTGTTACAGTGATCTTACTTCACCTTCACCTCATTTTGCTCCTTGGCAGTAGCAGTTTCATTCTCAGCAGCAGGAATTCCATCAGGGTTATGCCATGTGTGCTACTCGATAGGAAAATGGGTTGGTGTTAAACTTTGCTTGGCAACTTTGAACATTTCATCATATGCTACCTGGTCATGTCATGTATAATCATTTTCATTTGACAGTTGATCACATTACATTTGCTCACTCCTCTCTATAAATATTATTCCTTTCCCTTAGTGAACTAGCTCTCTCAATGCAAACAGAACAAAAATATTCCAGTCTCTGTAGAACACAGATTTCAGTATAATTTATAAATCTTGTTTTTCTTGTTCCTTGTTACCCTCTTGGATTCCCTTTGCCTTGCACCACTGTGCTTCTGTCCTGTTATCTGTCAATTGACCAATCTAGCTCAACGCATTTGCCAATTCAGTGCAGTTAATATAAATTGAAGACAGAGCACCTGAAATCAACCAAATAACTTTTCAACTTTAAATCAATAATCTCTGCTGGCTCTTTCAGTGCTCAGGACCCTCACTGGGTTTCCCCACACCCTCCCTTCCTCCTACAGTAATGTCTGAATTTTAACAGCTATTTGCTAATATTCCCTGGGTTTACTCCCAGACTGAGGTACGCAGGTGTGAAGTTCTGTTTTGTTCACTGGGATGCTTGCAGCAGCACCTGGGAGAGCCGCTCAATTCTGGGCAAGATTTTACAAACTGTGAGTTAACTGTGCTGAGTCATTGTGCCTTCATTTCCCACTATGTGAAGTTGCCTGTGCTTTCAACATCCTCTGACACAAGTTGGCTAACCGGCTGACAATGGATTTCTGGAGCCAGTTCTGGGGTGGGGGTGGGGTTTGGAGGGGTAGTGGTGGGACTTAATTGGAAAGGAATAAATCCGGAGGTGTATAAAAGACGCAGCTGATTCATTGCTACCTATTCTGTGCCCTCTCCAATGTTGAATTCTCACTGTGGGAAGTAGTGGCTAACCAGTGTAATGCATTGACTGCCTGCACCCATGTGGCTTCCCCTGTATGCCCTTTTGTCCCCCAATTTGTGCAACCCAGCACCTCCTTGGCTTTTTTTAATCCTGATCCCAAACCCTCCCATTTGACACTTCAAACCCAGCCCTTTGCCCACCCTCTTTCCCTTACTTTCCCATTTCCAGTTTGTCTGCTTTCGCATCCCTCTGGCATAATTCCCTCCTGACGAACAGCTTATCTCTTCAGTCGTTGTTGTTTTGACACCATTTGATAATCGTTCTGAAGATCTTAACTTATGTCACCCTCAGGTTTTCACAGAATATTTTAAAGAGGTCGAGGAGGAAAGTATTCGAGATAACTTTGTTATTGTTTATGAACTTTTGGATGAGTTGATGGATTTTGGATTTCCACAAACGACCGATAGTAAGATTCTCCAAGAGTAAGTGCAGACAGATCAATTTATTTTAACTATTTACCCAAACTGATGAACTCGGCCATCTGTAATTTGTACTTTTCTTATCTTGCATTTTTCTTAGAGCCAATATCTTACAGATTTTGGAATAATTTTACGCGGCACCACCTCACAAGCTTTGCTTTGTTAATTTTCTTAGTGATTTGTTAGGACTAACAACAGTAGATTATAGAAACCAGCAGCATCTGAGCCCCAGGATGGACTCATGTGAGCCCCTGCTGGTGAAGCAAGTCTGTGCAGGCTGCTTGATGCTTTGTTGTACTGTTGGCTTGCTCACACTGAACATTCTGAGCTATAGCATTCTTCCAGTGTTTGCAGGCAGATCCTTCATTACCTTCCTCAGAAAACTAAATAGATCCAATCATGGAGATGCTGTAAAATGGCACATTATGCCAGAAAAGCTTTCATTTCAGGTTAATAAATGCAAGAGAGCTTAGCTCCCTGATGCTGAGCAACCAGCAGAAGTCACTAGCACTTTCTTTTCAGCCCGTGTATACACTTAAAATTTTAATTATATAGTGGAGTATCTTGATAGGAAAGGGAAATAAATGTCATGTATTCACTTATTCCATTGGATACTAGAAACGTAAAGTTTATGGATGTTAATGATCATTTATCAAGCCTATCAAATGTGCTCAACCATTGCAGTTCACTAACACCTGACTTCTTCAATAAACTGTATCATGTGCAGACATATAATTCAACTACTCCTTACTGCCTGCTGAGTTCCATCTACCCATGTTTACATCTAGATTCCAATAACTGCTTTATTCCTGTCCGGGGCAATAATAACTGAGGCTGAACAATCCCAACTGAATTGTATCTGTAAATGTTCAGAAACAAACCAGTATTGCAGTGATTAATGCTCTGTTATTCAATACTTACTTGTCAGAGATTGATGAAAGCAACACTATCATTCACCAGTACAGTCCTGGTTGAATATAGGATTTCGAGAAATTAGATAAGTAGAAATTTTAGGAAATGGAATGATTACTTTTTCAGTATTATTCCAACCTGGCTTCAGATACACAAATGCATAGAGGTCTGTGCCCTTCACACAGATCTCTGACTTTATATAAGGTCTGATGAGGGTTAGTTCCAATAATACAGATCACTGTAACAACCCCTCTAACTATACTATGGCTTTAAGTTGCAAACTGCAATTTCTGAAGAAAGAAATGCACTTACATAGGACCTTTCATGACCTCAGGATATCCTATAGCACTTTGCAGCCAATGAAATATTTTTGAAGTGGGAATATAAGCAATGTGGCAGCTAGTTTGCTCACAGCAAGCTTCGACAAACGGCTATGTAATAGTGGTCAATAAAATCAGTTTCGGTGATGCTAGTTGAGGGATACAAATTGGCAAAGACAACAGGATGATCCCCGTGCTCTTCTGATTGTGTCGTGTCCTGAATTTGTTTTTACATCCACCTGACAAGTTAAGTGTGGCCTCAGTTTCATTTCTCATTTAATATACAATGCTGCAGACAGAACTCATTCTGCACAGCCTAGATTTCTGTGCTCAGATCTCTAGACTGGGAATGAACTCTCAGTCTTTTGATTCAAAGGTTAGAGTGATGCTAACTGAACCATAGATAATGTCGTAATCATTATGATTTGGAAGAATCCACTATTGGATGATACAAATGATGTTAATAAAAAATGGTTATCCTGACAAATCAATGGGTTTCTGAAGTGTGAGATCATATTTCAACAAGTCATCATATAACAATTCTTTTCACTTCAATTTTGTGGACTTGAAAGGAAATAAAAAGAAACAAGGCATAAATCAATCCTGTGGTTCCTGAACAATTTTGTTCACTTCTACCAGCTTTGTCAGTTTTTGTCACGAGCTGGCCACAAGTACCACTTCATCATTGCAGAAGATAGCAAGCAATGCTACTGTGACCCATGTCTTCTATAGATTTATCCATCCTGGTATCACTCAGTTTTATTCTCCTAATTAATGTGGGGACTGAGTGTATCTCATTTCCAAAATTAAGGGGAAGAATGTTAGCTCAACCCACAACATTGCACATACCATAGATAGCGGGATAGAAGTTAAGGTAGAGTTTCAAAATTCTGAAATTTGATCCTGACTTGCTACAAATATACCTACTTCTGGTTTTAACTTGTCCACTATTTAAATATGCTAATGATACAGTGTGTCTCTTAATGGCTCTTTATTGAAATGAATGTAGCATTTGGATCAAAATAAATGATTTAACGGCACAAAAAGAGGTTAATTTGTATGATCTTATATCTACTGTGGAAACATAATTATGAAGTTGGGAACTAGATACTTGGGGGTATGTGACTTTTCAAAAGGACTGGCAGGAAGGGAGGGTCATTGTTGGCATGAGATGGAATAAGTACAATAGCAAGAAATTATCTTGGATTGAATGATATAGAGGCCGTTTCGTTGGAAGTAAGAAATAGCGAGAGGAAGGTGACACTGCTGGGTGTATTCAATAGGCTGCCTAATCATAGCTGTTCTGCAGGATAGAGAATAAATCATGAGACAATGAGAACATCTTAAGCAAAAAAAAGAAATACACTAATCAATGATAACAAGGTGCAGAGCTGGATGAACACAGCAGGCCAAGCAGCATCAGAGGAGCAGGAAAGCTGACGTTTCGGGCCTAGACCCTTCTTCAGAAATCTCCAGATTCTCCAGCATCTGCAGTTCCTACTATCTCTACACTAATCAATGGTTGATTTTAATTTGCATGTAGATTGGGCAAATCAAATTGACAAACAAAACCATGAGGAAAATTCATAGCATGCATTCAGGACTGTTTCCTGGAATAATATGTTGTGGTTCCAATCAGAGATCAGACTATTTTGGTGTGTAGTGAAGCAAGTTAATAATTAAAAATATAAAAAATCTGCAGATGCTGGAAATCTGAAAGGAAAACAGAAATTGCTGGAAAATCTCAGCAGGTCTGGCTGCATCTTTAGAGAGAAATCAGAACAAAGAGCAGTTGGACAGACAAAGGACTGGGTAAAGGTTGTCTGGGAGAATGAATAACTGCTAATGGGGAATATTGATGGATAACAATGGGTTGTGTGTAATAGCAGACCAGGTGGTAACAAAGCCTGGTGTGTGGGGTTTGGAGTGAGGATAGGGGAGTAGCAATACTGTATGTATGTAAGGTTAGAGTAGTCACAATACTTAGACTGACAATAGGTGGGAAGTGGTGCACCAAAGGATTCAGTGCTGGGACCACTCTTTCTCACTATTACATAATTGATGTTGGCTTGGGAATTATGAATACAATTTCAAAATTTACAGACCATATATATTTGGGGAGGTGGTGTGGTATAATTATTACAGAGGAGGCAACATCAAAAAATAAGAGCACATTAATAATCTGGCAGAATGAGCAAATGATTGACAAATAAACTTGGATTTAGACATGTGTGATGCAGTACGTTTTGTTATGAAGAATAAGGAGGCCACACATTCTATGTTAAAATTACTATCTAATTGTGGGGAAGCAAAAGGACCTAGGGGTTCAGATACACAAATCATTCATTCAATCCAGGCTAATTAGCCTTAAAAGAACATCAAAGCACTGATGTTTATTTCTGGAGGGATAGAATTGAAAAGCGAAGCAGTTATGTAATATCGTATAAAACATTGTGAGATTACACTGTCTACAGTGAACTGTCCTGGTTTCCTTATTACAAAAGGGATATAGATGCACTGGAAAAGATGAAAGAAAAATGTATTGAGATCATAACCGAACTCTGAGGAAAGATTATACAGGATAGGCTGTTTCCTCTCAAAAAGGGAAGAGTGAGGAGTGGTCTGATAGAAGTTTTTAAGAAAATGAATTATGGCCAAAAATGTAAGATGGAAAAATGTTGCAACATGTCTCCAGACCTCATTTATAGACTTAGCCTAAACCTAGACAAAGAGCTGAATTCTGCAGGATTGGTGGGAATGACAGTAAACCAGCATTTGTCGGAGTCAAGGAAGCGAAGCAAACATGGAGTCAGTGGGAATCGAGGGGAAACTCTCCACAGGGTGGAGTCATACTGACACTGGCTCCCTCCAACACTGGCATTCAGTGTAGTTGTGTGTATCTTTTACAAATGCATCTTACATAACCCTAAGCCTATTGCAGCAACTTTCCAACCTTCCCTTGATAGTATGTTCTAAATCCATGACCAGTGTTCCCTCTCATTTTTTGTTGGGTCTGAGCAGTTGATTTAAATCAGTTGATAGAAATCACAGGCCGGAAATTGATGGAGTGTACGTGTGTACACATGCAGTTTACAGGGGATATGGCACGTGACCTCGACCAGAGTACAAAGGTGGCAGTTTTATGGGAACACCACAAACTATAGGTTCCCCTCTCAGCCACACACCATCCTAACTTGAAAAGATGTTCCTTTGCTATCACCAGATCAAAGTCTTGGAACTCTCTTCCTAATTGAGTAAGTTTAAGGGGACAGCTTCTTAAATAGTAATGGGTTGAAGGGTTAAGGAGAGTGGGCAGGGGAGTGAGGTGGAGGCCAAGCTGAGATCCACCACAATTATACCAAATGTTGGATTAGGCTCAAGGGGCTGAACTGCCTAACTCGTACTTTTATGTAATAGCATCCTAGAAGTACCTATACCTCCTGGACTGTAGCATCCAAAATGTTAGCTCACCACAACCTTCTCAATGACAACTAGGGATGGGTAATAAGTGCTGGCCCTTCCAGCAACACCTATGTCTTGTGAATGATTAAATAAATAAAATTAAATTCAACAGGCAAGTTAGGAGCTTTTCCCAGAAAAAGCTAGATAATGGAACTACTAAATAGAAATACGAGTTGAAATTTTGAGCAGAAGTGCATTTACAAGAAATCTAGATACACAAAGCAGAAAAGAATGTAAGGACATTTGACAGGAATAGTTGAAGAAGGTTTGCAGGAGGTTTATGTAGACCTGTTGGGCTGAATGGCCTGT